CAAACATTTAACGTTGTTAACTAATTAGCTAAGCAACCATTAAGAAGAAAAAATAAAATTGCATGCAACGCTTCTGGCTTGGCTGCCTCCAGTGGCTACAAGTGAGACGAGAGCGCTTCACTAGCGAGTCGCTTAGAAATAAGAGAGAACGGTAGAGACCGTCCGTACTGCAGCACTGTTTGCGGGAAGTCAACTCGAACTTGGCTAATTCACCTGATAAATTCGCCTCAAAAAGTAGTTAATAAAGTAAATCGAAAAATTTTGCAGACAAATTAATTAATTAAGGTTCACATACTTAATCCATAAACGATCCAAATAAGATTTTGGATCACTTCGACTATCCCCATTTTCTATTATAAATCTTTTTCCCCTTTCATCTCTAAATGCATGATTCACCATTTCCGATTTGGCTCACTCTACTGAATAATCGCCAGTGAATCACTTGATGATAGAAGTACGCAGTTGTTTTTTCTCCAGCACATTGTTGCTATGGACGGTGTGAAAGGTGGACTCAGTCCACTCGAGGATGGTCTGATTAGTACCATTTTATCAGGTCGTATAACCATTGGTTCCAGTCTTTTTCTTCCTTGGCAGTTCGCACTACAAAATTACTTTTAGTGAGCGAGGCATTAAGAATCAATTCTGATTTACTGCAAATTTATTTCAACGATATGATAAAAACAATATAATTGAAGTGAGTTGAATCCAGTGTCGCATGTTTGTCAGTAGAAATGACAGGAGAGATCGACAATCAAGCGTTGTACCTCTGTAAGGTACTGTTCCAACAATATATCAGTACCTTAGCCGAAGTACAAAGTTCAACTAGCCGAGAAATGTGACAGTGAACAGGGATGCCAACGACGAATTGGATGTTGGCGATGAACTGATTCGGGAGAGTTGAAAATAAAATCAACTGGCTGAATTTACAGATACTAAAATATCTTTTATATTGTTTATCTATCAATGAGTCATATGCTCCGCCTTTAAATTGTCCACCCAAAAAGACGTGGGTGACGACCAACTGACCGAACTCCTTGCACCGAGCATAGAATAAGTAACCAAGCAACGGACCAGCCAGCCCACTAATCGGCGAACACTCTTCCTCCGAATAAAGCAAAAAAAATTGTCATGAAATGTTTCGCAAATTTGACGTCGTCGCTTCGAAAGGTGTTGTTGAATCAGTTAAAACATTCATAAAAAGTTGTGTATAAATATATTAAATCATTTATTCAAACTTTTTAATTTCATTTTTTTTCAAGTTTTTGGATTCAAATTTATCGTTTAAATAAATAGTACGACCAATTGTCTTGTTTTTCTAACAGTATTCACCATTTATTCACCATTTCTCGTTTGGTTTACTTTTCACTGACTGATTGTAAGGTGAGAGACTTTCATTTGAGACTCATTCGAGAATAGAAGTGGAGATGGAACCATAGCATCAGCCGATTTTCACATTATCTTATTATCATTTATCATTTATCAAACCTAATGCTCCAAATCAATCGATCAATCGAGTACCGATCGAGCAACTGTCTTGCATTTCTAAAGCGTTTCCGCAGAAATTTCATTACGAGTAATACCTGTAGAAGACCAGTAGAACGAGAATTGTAGTAACTGTAGTACTGTAGCTGAACCATGAATGGATCGTAATGGATCGTTGGACAAGCAGTTCTAAATCCAGATAACATTTCAGCATTTAAAAAGTACAGTACAAATACAAATAGAAATTTTCATTAATATGGTTTGGCCTAGATCTGAGATAGGCTGGCCGAGTGTTTTTTCTCATGCTATCGTCTCGATTTACGCTAAGATTTATCTTCCGACAGTAGTAAACCAACCGTTGAAATATCCAAATGGTGCTAGTACTTATCGCACTAATAGCCAATGGAAAGAGGCAAATTAGAAATGGTGAGCGCTTACCTTTATTGCCTGACAACCCCATCTGTCATACATAAAAGTTCTGAAAAAGTGCTTCTTGACTTTCTGATACGAATGAAATATTCAGTAAATATTAATATTAACAATATTAAAATATTAACAAAATTTAAAATATTTCGTAAAAAACGAGAAAACTACCCGAATGAGTTCTTTTTGCGAAATTCAAGTAGCGGTTTTCAGATAAGAATTCTTTACTCAATTGTTTAATTTATTTTATTCACATTATTTATTATGGATGCTTGTCAACAGACTGAAAAAATTGCGGTCGAGTTGCTTCGAAAATATCAATTTAATGTATCACTGCGAGGTTCGACTGCGAGTAAATCTATCATTAAAAGAGGAGCCCTGGTGGTGCTGGGGACCAACTCTACTTCTTGAGTATCCTTGAGTTTCACGGCCAACCAAATCAGCAGTGCGTGAATGCTATTAGAAGAAAAAAATTCATAAGCATTCTTAGAACGGTCCTTAATTTTTCATTATCAAATAAAATTTTAAATAAAATTGTAAATAAATAAAAAAATGATTTTTTTTACAAATGTAAAAACAAATAAAAAACAATAAACAAATGAAAACAAATAAAAAGTTCGATTTTAAAATTAAATGTTTTTTTTTAACACATTGAATTTCTTTCATTCACCATCTTTTTTCTTTACTGTAATGAATTTTACTGAAAACTAAGCGAAGGATATCCGAAATGATAGTGATTCAAATTAACGCGATGAAATGCGAGGATTCAGATTCTCTACGAGACAGATCTGTCAGCGGCAAAGAATACTCAGTGCGATCCACCAGTATTTCCACTGCCAAGTGGCTCCTTGGCCAAAATTTCTAATCGCCAGTCAACAACCAACCCGACTAGAAATGGAGAGCACTAATTGCGCTTATTTCTTTCTAATAAAAATTAAAGATTTGTCTATTTATTTATTTGCAAATAAATATCAAAATGCACCATGTAATAATAAAACAAATCGCTTTTTTGCACACTTATGAATAAATAAATATTTACATTGACTTATTAAAGCAAAAAAGCGAAAATTTTCAACCGGAAATTTAGATTACAACTGAAAAGGCCGAGGTTGAGCAGTAGGCGTATTGGTTCAACTAAGATTAAACGCCATGGATTCGGACACAGAAAAAAAAAATTTGAAAAAATTTATAAGCAAAAGTGAAATCTGAATGTTACTGAGAAACCTGCATTCCAGAATGCTTCTGGGCGAAGATCTGATTCTATTAATTGAAAATAATCATCGTGCGAATTGATATCAACTCCATCTCTTCGATTTCGACAATTAAATTTCACCGAGATGTGCCATAAATCAAATAATAATCCCTTAAAATCCCTTAAAATGTGGAATATCCAAACATATACATCATCTGCCGTTTTCTCAGAATACAATAAAGTTTTTGGTCATTTCTTCTTCTAATGCCTAATTGCTGGGTGGACCGTCTGCATTGGATTCAAGATTGAGGCGTTACCAAGGGACTCGACCTGATGACCTAAAAATGACAGATTCAACTTTTGTCGTCCAAGACGATATAGATTACTTGGTGGATGGTCAGTTAAGACCAGGGCTGATACAGGAAGGAAAGATTTTGAGCGAAAGCATGACCAGCAATATTTGGGCTTAGAGATGGGAAAATGAATGGCTTCTATCACTGTCGATGAATCAGAGATTAGAAATATCTTACCCTTATAGCCAGTGGAATTAGCCTAACCACTAATGGTGAGAGCTGTTAGAAGATATTGGTCGGTGACCTATGACCCATCAAAAACCTCTCCTAACCATATTAGCTTAATTTGATTGGCTTCTTCGACGCCACCCATAAAATGGCTTAGCAAGTAAGGGGACATGCTCCCATTTTTGTAACTGCCATGAACATTTTATATTTATGTAAATGATACATTTTTTAGGATACCAGAAATTTTCTTTTGAAAAATGTAAATAAATCGAGCAAAAACAACTTCTTTGGTTAACTTCTTCCGACAATTAATTCCACGATGTTTTTTGCCAAAATAAATTAACGCATTATAAATTCTATTAAAAAATACGATTTTCCGAGAAAAAAACATGAAATCTGTTAATTCTTTAATATCAAAAAATCGGTTGAACCAGTTGGGAACAATTGAACCACGGAAACTTTATAAAGGCCGTCAACACTGCGATAAAAGTCAAGTAAAAATCATCTTGCCTTCTACCATTTGAAATATTTCACGCAGAAACAATTTAACAAAAAAAAAATAAAATATAACAAGAAAATAAATAAATTGGTAGAAAATTTGGTAAAATTTACTGTAAGATAAATAAAATTAATCGCATTTCTTAAGAAAATAAAAATAACTAAAATAGAAAAAATTTAATGGCTACTCTTTTTTGAAATCTACAAAAAAAGAACGCAATAAAATCAATTTAATTTCAAATTTCGCACAAAGGTTTACGATAAAACCCCCTATTCAAACACAAATCAAACTACAGATCAGCACAAAAATTCAAATCATTTTTTTCAATGTTAAACAGCATTCACTCATTTTTTCACCGACAGAACAAAAAATAACTGTGAACCAAACTAATCAACTGAAAAGGTTAAAGAAAAGCATAAAAAAGAACCAAATATAGCACAAAACAACTGGCAGGACGCCGAAGTCTAATAAACCTTATCACCTTAAATTAAATGACTTGAACTTCCATGAAGGCAGTGAATAAAATTATTCAAAAGAAAAAGAAAGGTTGTATCTTCTCATTGGTCCTGGAAGAATGTCCAAAACAAATCTTAAATTTCATATATAAAAGAGAAATAAGATTAAAAAATGAGTTAAAACAACTAAAAGTTACACAAATGTCTAAAAAAAATTATTTAATTTGAAAATTCGAGAGAAATTTGAAAATTCTGATTAAAACAAAAAAAACTGTTCGGAATTTAAAAATTAATTAGGAACTGGATTAAAAGAGAAAAAGAAAAATTATAATAATGAGATCCTCAAAGTGAAAGAATTATTCAAATGGAAAATTTGGATAAAGAAAAAAACAATAATAAAGATACAAATTATGTAAACGAATAATATTTTATGCTGATCCATTAGGAATTGTAACTGTAGCTGGCCGATCTTGGAAAGCAGGACGAAACACTGTGCCAAAACCATTTTGTGATGATCCATTCGTCTGTGGCATCGTGGCACTATCGAATTTTCCTCCTTGACCACGAGCACGAGTTAGAGCATGTTTATGCCTTGATTCATGCAAATATTTCTAAATTTTAAGAAGAATGAAATTTGAAAAATGCTTGCACAGAAATGATTATCTCTATTATTAATTATGATTTTTCATTAAAAAGAAAAAAAAGCATACTCTACGTTCCTTCGGAATTCTGCCCTGACTTTCTAGTTTCGCTCTAGCGATCCTTCTCTTTAAAATCCTACAATCCACTTCAGGATTTTTTATAAATTAGTTAATTAATTAATGTTTTTAATCAATTTTCTATTTTCAAATCAGTTTTTTGTTTTTTTTAACAGAATGCTAACCTGTGATATTGCTTTGCATTCACATAAAGGGGGGTCTCTTCTGGCCTAGGAGCTAGTGTAGGAGTTGAGGTAGGAGCTACTTGCAAAATAACGTGTGGCGTACCATTTGTTTGATGCTTAAAAAACAGGTGTATAAAAAATATTACGAAGTAAATAAATCACTAACAAACAAAAAAATTCGAAAAGATGAAAACTGTTAGAATTAATGGGAAATTTGCTTATGACTTTGCAATTTTCACCAGAAAAGTGAATTAAAAAATTAACAATAATCATAATACCTGAGAAAGTGCTTGAATAATACTCGATAGATCAATTTCTTTCGCATCTGCAAATAGATTTTCTATTGAAATCTTGGAAAAAATACAATCATAAACAAATATAAACAAAAATTATTTTAAAATTCAGAATTTTAACGAATGGATATAATGAACGCAAATAAAAAAGAAAGTACTGAAGAAAATCTTTGAAAATTAATAAATAAAATTAATAAGATAAAGATGATGGAATGAAATACTAATTACTGATGGTACTGGGCAAAAATACACCTTATCAGAATGTGAATTTGTTTCTTGAGTGGTTCGAAGCAATTTCATCGTAAATTAATTTAAGAAATCAGCCAAGTCAAAAATGGTAATTGTCAAAAGAAAAACAAATTACTTGTATAAATAATTTGTGTAGGTGGAGGTGAAGAAGTTGACGGTTGTTGTACATTTGAAGTTTGAATGAAAGGCTCGTTTAAAGTGATCACTTGAATACCACCAGCTGTACAATTCGGAACAACCTAGAACAAAAGAAAAGAAAAAAGTACTTTTGGCACGATCGTAACACATACTAAAAAAAATTTTTTAATGATACTTGCAAAGCTGAACCACCATTAATTTGTAATGGCTGATTAGTAGGTAATAAAATAAATGAATTTCGCTGATCTTGTGAAGAATCATCATTTGAAAGATTTACAAATTGCACTTGACACTGTTGAACCTGTTACAAAATCATACAAAATTTATAATACCTTTTAATTCTTTAAATTAAATTAAATTAAAGGAACTCCCCGGTACACGTGTCTAGTTCGAAAAAGCCAGCGGAGTGAGTCTAAACAATACTCTTTAAAAAAAAGATTCTTTAAAAAAGAAAATTTAAAACATATAAAAATAATAATGAATAAGAATAACGTGACAACAAAGAATTCAAGAAAAATAACTACGAAAAAAATTTATTTCAAATGACGAAATAAAAAAATACCTCATCAGAAGGTGAATCTAATGCCGAATGTGTTGTTGTGATGATATACTGCTGTTGTTCATTATTATCATCAGTATTCCTAAAATTATTTACAACAATAGTTGGAAATAATAAAGAATATATTTTTGTACAAAATACTTTATTTAAAAAAATAAAATAAAAAACAAATAAAATAAAATGTTAAATCTGAAACCAAGAAAGAATTATCTAATGGTAATGCTATTTTTTATTTATTTTTTATTTAATAAGAATAAGAGTTACATCGAATTGCAGAAAAATCCCTAAAGGTTCAAAATATTCAATTATATTTTATTATTCATATTATTTTATGTAAAATAATTTAAACAAAAATAAGCATATCATAAATAAATATACCTATGTACATATAAAAATATATGAAGGACACACACACACTTATCCAGCCAACTACACAATAGCAAAAATATTCCAAATTGTTTCACGCGATTATTTGCAGCAACTGACAACTTATCAAATGAACACAAAAGACTCTCCTTTAGTCTAAGCTAATAAGTAGACGCCAAACGGAAACGGCATGCATATTACAACAATTCCTCGTATCTGGAGACAGGCATCTTCAAAACATACAAATGACTGACGCACGCAACCACCGTTACTTTATTGCTCCATAATTTTCTTTCGACCGAACTATTCCTTATAATTACAATATTAAAAGAAACTATAGGGCCACCAGTGGCACCACATCATCAATGGTCATAATAGAAAGGACCACAATGGCAACCGAATGGGGCAATAAGGCCACCAAGCGATGAAGATAAAATATTCACAATACGGGGTTATAAGAATTATGCCAACAATAAACTAACATTTTATTGGGGGCTGTATTATTTGTTATCGCCTGATTGGCTGGTACCATCTCAACAATCCAATCAATTCAACCAATATTCTCATTCATTCCACCCCTTTTTACATATTTTCCACTTAAAATACAACAATTGTTGCGGTGAATGTTGCAGCACAATATTTGTGTGTTGCTGTACCAAATCATACAAATGTTCACATTTTTTACTTTTTATTCCAAAATTTATTATGTAGAATTTGACAAAATTTTTATCATTTTCCTCCTTTCCTTCCTTAAAAAAGATCACTTTTGAGAAACATTTTAATAATATTATTAATAATATTCTTATTCTTTTAATAATATTCTTTACATATTTAAAAAGCTCAATGAACAAAATATTTATTTAACTAATCCAACCTTTTCTTTTAATCGAAATTAATCGAAAATTATGCTAAATTGATTTATTCGAGAAAATATAGAAATACAAATCGTTAACTTTAAAAATTTAAAGAAATCGAATTATAATCGAGTTGCTTCGCCTGAATTTCAGCAATATGGGCAGTTCGAGAATCGCCTTTCGTCGGCATTTGCACTGTCAGTTTTGGTGTAATTGCACAAATCCGGTGAAGTGAACTGTGGAAAAAAATTTCGCTTCTTGTGTCAGTTTTGGTGGATTTTCAGGGTGAAATTATCAAAAATTAGATGAATTTTCACGTTTTGTATTCGCAGACAATGATAAATTTAATTTGTGTCTGAATTCGGTTATTTCATTTCTGGGTGGTCTGCTTTTCGATGATTTGCTTTTAATCATCAGAGATCATTGATCAGAGATCAGAAATCTTCTGTTGAGTTGGCATTTATAAGTTAAATAATACCCCTGCAAGAGCAGTTTCTGAACTTTTATTGTTCAATGAATCAGCTGCACAGTTTCTAAAAAACACGGCAAAAAACGACTGCGATTGCACGTTTTTAAGTTTCATTTTGTTGTAAAAATTCTATTTGGTTATGCTTTATTTATTTATTCCAAATAAGCATTTCTTATTTTTTTCGCTTGCTAAGCTCGCTGCATGACACTATAGTTGGCCGAAATAAAAGCCGAAATTCTTTTGTCACGAAAGTACCGCAGAGAGGGATGCCTGCAAAGATGCGGCAAGTGCTGTGCGTGCAAAAATACGTCCTGACGATTTCAGTCGATATTCGCTTGATGTGAAGCACGTCAGAACGCTCGTCTCGTTGTGCGTGAAAAGCTTGACAATCAACCCAGAAGCCTCATGTAAACCACTTTCGAATTGCGAATTTCTGGCTATGAAGAAAAGTATTTTTATTTTTATTGTCGACAGCTCGATTCTCCATAGAATTAGAATAAGAAGAATTCAGTGGGGCAGTTATAATGAAATGCACTCCACTTATCCAAGAATATATTTTAAAGGCAAACTGAAGAAGAATATCATCAATCAAATTCGCAAATTTCTCTGTTGATGAAAAGACCGATAGTTCTGACTAAAGTGCGTGGTGTCAGCATTCGTTATTTTTCAAAAGATTAAGGCCACTTTTATAAACGGTAAATTTGGTAGAGATGAAACGAAAATTTCACTGATTTTATTCCACCGTAGGCAATCCTGAAGAATGGTTCAAGCATCTGTGAACAAAATTTCCTTAAAATTTCAGTTTCCTGCTAAATTTGTATAACCTTTCACATAACTGCCAATGCTATCAGCAATTTTTTGTGGACAGTAACATCCGAAGATAAGTGTAACTTAAATTGATTGCACTGTATAATTGCACTGTATTCAAACTATTTTATAATCACTATGATTTCAAAGGAAATAAGATTTGTTCTATAAACAATCTAATTGTGTGCATTTTTGGTGTTTTTTCTTTAGGTCAAAATGGCGAAAAATTTTTTTGGTGGTCGATCTGATTTATTTTAGAAATCGTTTAGTGAAAATTCACTCCAACTTAGGCTTAGGCGTAGGCTTTCAACCTAACCCTCTATCCGCATTCAGTGGAACCAGACAAACTTTTACTTTCTATTGGAACATGTTGAACATATATAAATATACAATATAAAGAGTTAAATAAATTAAAGTTTACACATTTAATTTGGTTGTGTCAGTTGAAAATTCATTTTTTTGCTTAACATTGTTCCATTTCGACGTTTTTCTTAGCAGTGCTGTTAGCAATAGAATAGATAATTTTTGTAGAATTTTCCATATTTAAACGGAATCTTTGCTATTTAATTTGCGAAATGCCAAAGAGCGAAGGAATATGGTATGGATTACTTAAAATTATTTTGCTTTATAAATTATGGAATAACGAATAAATTATTAAATAATAATTTTCGGAAAATATGAAAATATAAAACAATCACTCTCCATGAAATCGTGGAAGTCTATTTGATGAATGATTTACACGGAAGGGAACCACTCGCATTCAAATTTGGATAAGAATAATTAGATGGGGAAAACTATCACTGAGATACCATTCGAGAATAAATTAACGGAGTTATTTTTAAAAAAACTCATAGAAATGCCTTGCTGCACCTCAATTCTTTTCATTGCACTAATTCGAGTAAATAAAAGATGTAAGTTTTACGTGAATAACTTATTTCTTCTTTTTTTTCGCACTTTTATTAATTAGTCAAGCATATTCGAGCCACTCAATCCGATTATATAACTAAGCTCAGTTCTTGAACCTCTTTTTCGATCTAAGTTCCTATATAACTGGATAATCTATAAATTCAAAAAAAAATTTGGAATCTCGCTTGACTGTATCATTTCAGGTCTTAATTGGTCCTTCTTATTTTCGATGCCATCTACTATAGGATAAGTGGCGAGATTTAGTCCAAATTATGTGATGGCTGGCGAATATGCCCTAATTTAGTTTTTCATCATATTTTTAATATTTCTTGGTTATTTCTAATATTCAGTTTTTACAAACTCCATCGAAATAAGAATTGGTGTTCTTTAAACTAACGGTAGACTGGATAATGGATATCGCTTGTGGGCATTCAAGAAGTATACAAATCAGTAGAGTATAGCATCGCAACCCTTGAATGCACTGATGATATAATCAATGTAAATAGAACGAAAGCCTTTTAAAACGAAAGTCTTATAAGAAGTTGCTAAAATACCTACTTTTATCAATTCACTGGATTGAGATTGTGCCTGACTTTGAATATCTTGGATCCATTCTAATCCCAAATGGCCAAATGAAAGGCGAACCTACAATCCGGATAATGGTAGTTAGAAATTCGGCCACTCTTGTCTAAGGTACATTTTACGGGTCTGCCGAGTTGATAAAATATCACATGATGGCATCCACCTTCATTCAAATACCACTTGCATTAATGTTATCACAGAGAGTCGTCTTCGCTGGTTAGGCTGTTTCGCTGTCGTCCACCACAAGAGTTGTTTTTTTTCGTTTTTTAAAATATTTCGTTACTTGCTAAATCCTGTGTGGGTTGCGTCAAAAGCGAAGTGGACCAATCAAGACCTTCACTGATACGGTTATGGTCAGGAAAGAATATAGGACCAGCAATATATGGGCTTAGACGATGGAAAAAGGAATGGCTTCAGTTACTGTTGATGATGACGTCACAACGAGTAGCTTAATTTCCCCTTGCAGCCAGCGAAAAATGACAAGTAGTAATATTGTTGGGTCAACTGACTGATGATGTAAGTTCTTTTTCATAAAATTATAAAGGATTTGAGAGCATAGTTCACTTCTTTACTAAAAAATATAAGCATCAAAAACTAGTTTCGCATCTAATAAGGTCTGTCGAATCATTTGCTAATCAAGATAATCTGGAACTTATCAATGGAAAACTTTGAAAGCATCTATGATGGATAATATCATATCGAAATTCCTTACTGGAATATTTAAAAAAATGGAGGATTTCAGGACTCTATTCAACTAGGAGGACCTCAATCTTGTCGCTATGGAGGCCTCTGCAACAGCTCAAAATGGATTTGGTTCAATTAGCCCATATTCTTCCTAAGAAATAATAAATCCACACGTTGTCGGAAAAATCAAAATAATAAGCGTTTTCCCATGCTTAAAATCAAAATTTAGCTGTACATCCGGTATTTTTATATGTAAATTTCCCTTATAGCTATGAGAACACTGTTAATTTGTAAAGAAATTATGCGTCAAATTAATAAAATCTCTTCACACATTCCTTATAAGGAATTGACCAATAGTCAGACATTATGTCTGTTAATCTGTCTGTTAGTTAATCGGTCGGTCTATTAGTCAGTCAGTTTTGACAATGCATCCTTCGTATTCTTCCGTAATCCTACCTTTCACTTCGTTATAATAATTGATATTATTTCGCATATCATTCTATTGTATTGGTGTCGGGGCAATTATAAAATCTACAACTAGCTGTAGATTTCAAGTCTAATTGGTGAAACCGTCGACGAGTAAGCAAATCATTTCTTTCAAAAATTTTAGTTTTTTTTTCTTCTTTCTGGATTAACAAAATTTTTCACTACACAAGATCTGTTGCAATCTTTTTTTTTCTAAATTTATTATTTTAAACTAGTGATCGAAACAGATCCGCCAAAAGGAACTTTTCATTAACCTCATTAATTCTTTGTCGATTCCATTTATTCTTCTTCTTCTAACAGCTCACACCATTAGGCCAGCTCCAATGGCTACAAAGGTAAGAGTATGGTAAGGATATTCTTCTTCCAAGCGACGTAGCCTGATGCCATCGTTGACAGTAATAGAAGCCATTTCTTTTTCAATTGTCTAAGTCTATATATTGCTATCCACCTATATTGGGGACAGAATGGCTCAGAGGGTTGTTGCTCGATTGGGGGCGCCGATGCTGAGGTTCTATTCCCCTGTAGGAGTAAACCTGTACAAAAATTCGGGTGATGCTGGCGACTCACCTGTATTTCTGTCGCCAAAGGACTCCCTGGCATATTGCTCAATGTGATAAACCAGTGGAGCGAGTTTAACAAATAATGGTGAAGACTCCTAAAAAAAAAGTCCTTATATTGCTAGTCCATCTCGCTTTTGATGCCACCCAACACAGGGTTTAGCAAATAGCGAAATATATGTCAACT